GATGAAGCTGTTATTGATCTGGGTGTGAGAGGTGAGTGTCTTTCTCCCAGAATTACATTTGTGGTAAATCACTGATCACTTCAAAGAGCAGTAAAAATGAACAATTACACATGATGAGTTATGATACATAAAACAATGAATTAACAGAACTGATATATTGAGCTCAGCTGCTCTTAGTCAAGAGAACTCATAATTTCAGTCAAGTCCAAATTGACATGTATGTTAAATATAAATCCATATTTTGTTACATTGCTTCCTAATACTTAGTCAATTTGAAAGATTTTTCCACACATTTTAGAGGTGTGACTGTCTATATTTCTCTCCCATAGAGAAACTCCCACATATTGGGATTGGTCTTTGGCAAAAAAGATAATTTTACATTCTGTTAATACCTACAAATTTAATACAGGTTTTATTTTTACACAATAACACTGGTTATTTCATTCACATCAAATCACAATGAGAACAGCTGTAAACATATTGTAACACATTGAAATCACAGCAGCAAACTGATTCCTTAATCATGACTGACTTCACACAGCTGCTTCTTCAATCCCAGTGTGTTTCCATACATGACGTTTCTAAAAGCCATCAAGTTTCAGATGGATCACAGTAAATAAAAGAACTCAGAGTGGTGTAAAGAACCACACTACACCACACAACACAGTACAACACTACACCACACAACACAGTATAACACTACACTACACAACACAGTATAACACTACACTACACACCTGTCACAATGTGTATAATCTGGAAGTGACTGGAATAAGACTAGGGAAACACAGCAGGAGCAGGATGGGAAAACAGACAGGGGGGCGTGAGGGCTGTGATCTGGTGTTCAGGGGGCGTGAGGGCTGTGATCTGGTGTTCAGGGGGGGTGACAGCTGTGATCTGGTGCTCAGGGGGGGTGACAGCTGTGATCTGGTGCTCAGGGGGGCGTGAGGGCTGTGATCTGGTGCTCAGGGGGGGTGAGGGCTGTGATCTGGTGCTCAGGGGGGCGTGACGGCTGTGATCTGGTGCTCATGGGGCGTACTGGAGTATTGAAACAGTATCATTTCTCTGTGTGCTCTGATGACAAAAAAATAAGACAGCTACATTTACTCCAGTGTGCTTTTATCGGCTGTGAAATGTCTCCTGTTGTGTTGAACCCACAGCCCTGGGCTCCCAGCCCTCAGTGTCTCTCCACTCCCCTGGAGGAGATCAGGCCCAGCTGCTGTGCAGATCAGAGGGCTGGTTCCCTCAACCTGCAGTGATCTGGACAGACAGGGATGGAAACGAGGTGACATCACAGCCCCCC